CGTCGCGACGCCAGGCGACGCGAGGCGACGCGACGATCGCCGTGTCATCGCGGACCGAAGAGATTGCTCCTTCTCGTTCTTCCCCGGTACTTTCAGCGGATCTTCCTTCTTCCATTGTTTTCTTCTCCGGCGTCGGTTCTTTTGTCCTCGTTATCGTTCGAGTTATCCGGCAGGGCGGCACCAATTATATCGGCGACCGTGAGCGTTCACGGCCAACGACAATAGAGATCGCCCGCAGTCTTTCCCGCCCCTCGAATCGTCCTTGGACCGGTTCGCTTACCCCATTCTCTTTTACCCTCGCTTTCGCTCCTGTTCCCGCTGAATGACGGAATCCACGCGGCAACCAGAATCTCTTTTCGATAACGCTATTGTCCCTGTCGATTCGTTCAACTACCTCCTCTCGCTTCGTCGCAATTTCCTGTCCCCGACCTGTACTACTTTGGACTTTGCCGGAATAAAAAGTCTCGTTTGTTTGCTTTGCCACGATCCATCAAAGACAACAGAGATCATCGCGATGAACAACGAACGAACGACGGAGCGAGAGAACGCGTTATCGTTTCAAAGTCTCTCCGTGGACTTTTTAAACTTTACCTACGCCGGAGTCGAAGGCAACACTCTTTGTTTCCGTTTCTTCTCTCGCTCCGTTCGTCTAATACATTTTCCCGTCAGCTTTTTGCTCCTTTGGAACTCGCTGTTTTAAAATTGCAGCCCTCGCAAATTGTACGGGATGCGAGAAGACGGTCCCGCGACGATCTCTATCCCTTTTACGAAAAGACGATTTGTAGCGACCAGGCGGAAGCAGAGAACAATGGATTTCCTCGAAAGAATAAACTACCGAAAGCTCGAAGGTAGAGTAGCTGAAACGTTTGTTCAGCTCCGCGTTATTTTGCTCGACGACGCGCGACGAACGGACAGCCGCGAATAAATCGTAATCTTAGCGAGACGGTGTCGCGCTATTAAGCAACAGGTGATCGTTGCTTTAGCGGCTAGATGAAAGACGTCTTTCGACGTTTCGAATTCGCGCCGAAACGGGGCTAAAAAACTCTGCTGTCGCTTCGAGCGAACCGTGAAACGATCGCGTGGTCGATCTTCCGAATTCGAGAATTCGGGCTAGACTCGCTGAAATATCGCGTCAAAATAGAATCGTGGCTCGGAAGGTTACGATAAGCAGACGTTCCACGAGAATTTCAGAATCATCGAATCGAATGAGATCGGCGAGGAAATAACGACCGCTTCGTTGGCTGTATTCCTGCATCTATTACGCTTTCATGAAAAACCATGACTGGCAGGATCGATTAAGAATCGCTTCCCGCGGCCAAAAATCGGACGTTAAGTAAAATTTGTGGCCGATCGACGACGAAATAATTCGTTGCCGTCGGTGCCGAGCGCTCGAGAAACGGAAGCTCGATAAGAAGCGAGCCAATAAACTATACCGGTTAAAATTCCCCGTAAAAGTCCCGTGCAAACGCGGTTTCATAATTCAAGCGCAGCGACGATGCGGCAGCTCGCTGGTGCTTTCGAGGCGCCCTCGAATATACCGGCTGCGCTTGTGTATCGTACGCGTACAGCGGCATGTAAATGGGTCCAAGTATACGATACGTAGACGGCGCGTACGTGTGCCTCGCGTCGTTTCAGGGGAAATCGATCTGCGGAAAATTGGCTGGCCTCGCGAAAAAAGAGCTCGTTCGAGCGAAGGACACGCCGAGAGCGCGGTAAATCGCTAGAAAACGAAAACGACGGCGAAATCGGAAAATTAAATTCGGAGAGAAAGGCGCGACGCGACGGGTAAAAAGAGCCGGTCCGCAAACGGCTCTC